TTATCTGTTTTACCCCAAAGTAGTCAGGAGGGTCCCTATTTGAAGGACACGGGGGTGTTTGAATGACAGGAAGAGTTGTGACAGCGAAAACAGTAGCCAGGGTGATACCAGAGCTGGATCAGTGCTCTGGGCCAGGGATGCTGAGGGTATCCAAATGCTGGAAAAGGCAAGGAAGGGTTACACCCCTAGAGCTCCAGAAGGAACACAGACCTGATGATATCTCCAGTTGAGTTTCAAAGGCGGATCTTTAGACTTTTGACCTCCAGCACTGCATACATTCTGTCATAAGCCACTGTTTTTGGAAACAGGAAACTAATACAAAAGTGGCCCTGGGTCAAATACCCACAATCTCTAAAGCAGAGGACATAGTGGGTTGCCGGTCCAGGTAAGAGAACACTAAATATTTAGAATGCCAGTCTTTCCGCCGTTAGATGCAGCACGTGAGAAAACTTAACCTCACCCTCAAATTCTCCATCATCTCTAGGAACCATTCCCTCAGCCACTCTTAGCTCTGCAGGGACATCAGTCTGACTAAAGAGCAAACCAGTGTCCTGGATGGCCAGTACGTGCATGGGAAATTTGCCGTTGGAGAACCAGCCACGCTCTCCATACGCGGCTCAGCGAAGAGACCGGCAGCAGTCAAGTAAGAAGCCGCAGTGGGAGAGAAGGTTTATATGGGGCAGGGGAGCGGCAGGTGATAGGCAGCTCTAAGCGTGTGTCCAACTGAGAACTTAAATTCCCAGCATGCTGGTCCCCTGTGGGCAGACTGAGCAAGGTAAAAAGCATGAGGAAGCTGGGTTTGGCGGCACATACCTGTACTCCTAGCACTTAGGAGGTGAAGGCAGTAGGATAAGACATTGAAGGCCAGCCCAGGCTTCCTGAAACCATTTCAAAATGTAAAACCAAAGAGTGTGGGGTTTGTGTGAAGCACCTTTTGGGCAGGGTTCTTTCCAGGACTTTCTGGAATGAAATCTGGGGCTAGAATCACAGGCTTAAGCGTATCTGTAAGTTTCAAGCCAGCATAACTACTCCTTCTCAAAACCAAGTCACCTGCAAGACACAGCTCAAGCAAAGCAATTAGACTCAGGCTTGGGAGCGGAGCATCTGAGTCTTCATTTCTTCCTCAGTTGTGTGTGTCATGCTGGACGAATGAGTCATTCTCTCTCACATCTGATTTCCTTGTCTTAAAAACTACACATAAGTCATGAGGGCTAAGAGAAATCCCAGATGTAAAGAATCAGCACCCACCGAAAGCTTAAGAAATGTTAACAATTATGGTTGGCTCTCCTCGGCATCCTTCAGGTTGTATTTTTCCAATGTACACCCATGGCAGCTACCCTAGTTTGCTTCTGTCTCTGAGATCAGTACCATGACCAAAGCAACTGGGGGAGAACAGGCCTTATCTTAGTTTACAGATTACAGTCTATCATTGAGAGAAGCCAAGGCAAGATCTTGAAGCAAAATTCAATGGAGAAGCACCACTTACTGGTTCGCTCCCATGAGTGTCTCAGTTGGCTTTCTTATGCAGTCCAGGCCCAGCTGCCCGGGAATGGCTGAGCCCTTTGTACAGAAATTAACAATTTTTAAAATGCCTCACAGATGTGGTCACAGGCCAGTCTGACCAAGGCAATTTTTCAGCTTAGGCTCTTTCTTCCCAGATATCATCGCTAGGGTTGTGTCAAGTTGATGGCTGAAGCTAGCTATGAAAGTAGCTGATGTATATCCCTGCCTTCATTTCACTCTGTTAAAATTATAAATGACTGGGGAAGGACGTAGGACAGGGGCACCATGAATTTGAGGCCAGCCTTGCTTACATACTGAGACCCTGCAATAAACAAACAAAAACAAAATTATGGATGATTCTGATATGAAGCCTTCAAAGGCAGAGCCAGCCTCATTCATGGCTATATGCTTGACATCAAGCCCAGTGTGGCTGTTTGAGCTTCTCGCTCTCTCTCTTTTAAATAGGTGTTTATAAACTGATGTGAGTTGTGAGTTAAGGATCTGAGTCAGCAGCCATCATCTGTAACTCCATGATTTTTTTCCAGCTGTGACCCACTAGTTGATAAAATAAATCGTGTCACATTCAGCATTAGTTTTTCTCAAGAAACAACATAGAGGAATCTGAGTCTAAAATCCATGACTAGAGGGCCAAGTGCGGTCACACGGAGCTTTATACGTGTATTTGGTAGCATTGTAAATACATTTCATGTGGTGGGCTTGGGCTTATTCACAGCCTGCCTGTGCATTTTGCCAGCAACCAGTATTTGCCAGTGACTAAATGTTAGCCATTCTGCTAAGTGTGTTGTAGCAGTGTAGCATTCCATTCTGTTGTGCCTTTCCCTGACCACTAGTGATGTGAAGCGGTTTTTACCATGTCCCCTTCGGAGGCCTTGTTTAGAAATCTCTTTTATAACCACCTATGAAACAATTTGGTGGTGTTCCGAAAGCTGAGCATGCATTTCCTGTTTTCTAATGATCCTGCTTCAATTTGTTTACCCAGTGGAAATGAGAACACATGCACAAAATGGCACGTACAAATGTTTACGAAACACCATCTTACTAGCTGCAAGCCTGACCCTGCCCAAGTCAACTGACGTACCAATACACAACGGACAATTAGAAGAAAAAAAATCAATCGACTACAACCTTACAAGCAAGTGCTGAAGAATCCCAAAAGTGCAAGCGTAAGCAGAAGAAGCTGGCTGTAAACTCATCGTGCCTAACTCTGTTTACATGAAGTTTAAAACTTGGTGAGATGAATCTACGGTACTCAAGTCTGGGTTCCAGCTCCCTGGGAGTCACAAGTAGAACCAAGTTCATAAGTCAGGGCTGGTTCTTGACCTGAGTGCCCATCCCATTCATACATTTCACTTATGACTCGTGAGACCTTGACACGATTACTTTGTGTGTGTGTGCATATTTGTATCTGTGCATGTATGTATGTGCCTGCGTGCACATTTGTGTGTGAATGCACATGTATGTGTATGTCGGAAGACAATCTCAGGTATCATTCCTCAGGTACTATGCACACACACACACACACACACATTTTGAGACAGTGTCTTTTACTGGTCTATTCCTTATACCACAGTCCCTGTCTGCTTTTTTTTTTTTTTTTTTTTTTTGTTGTTGTTGTTGTTCTGGGGAAAAATACTCAGGTCCTCATTATCTCTCCACCTCCACAATTACTTTTTTTTTTTAAGGTGTGAAAAACACAGATAGACGGCAACAGCCCCTGATATGCTCTCCTTTCTCCCATCACACACTCATGTGCTCTCAGCTGGCCTCTGCTTGGGTACAGCCAGGGCCAGTGATCTCCCCCATCAGGTAGCCCAGTGTTTAGACAGTGCTCCCTGCCATGGAGCCACACCTCGCCTCTCTGGAACTTGCTGCACCCATCAGTTGCTCTGTCCTTTTAGGAGAGTCTAAGCTCGTCTAATCCCCTACCACCAACTGCTCTCAGACCCTTGAATAGTGCTGGTGTGCCCTCCCCCTCTCCAGACTTAAGAGTCCCAGGTCCCTTGGCCCATCCTCAAAGCATGGCTTTGAACCCCACCCTGTCTCCTGACTGCATTTAAAAAAAAAATAATAATGGGAGGCCCCAACCAGAGCACAGTTCTCTAGGACTGACCCTTCCTTCACACGAAGAAAGTCCATTTCCTCAGTCAGTGCATCCGGTGTGAACTCGTCCTTTCTTCAAAAGCACAGTCAACTGTTCATTCTGTTGAGCTTAACGATCAACAGAAAACCCTCTTTTTTTTTTTTTTTTTTTTTTTTTGCATAATTACTGTTGAATCCTAATTTACTTTCTGGGTTTGTAGTCTATCTCGGGAATCAGAACAGTCACTTGTCCACGCCAATTCCCCAAAGCTAAATTTCGGTGAAGAGCGTCTGTTTGGGATACAATCCTCTCACACCCAGAGGCTCTTCCCCGGGGAGGGGGAGGGAATGAAATCTTAGTCTCCATACAGGGTCTCTAATCCTTGCCAGCCCCTTGAAAGGGCTTTATTTTAAAGAGTAATTAAGAAATGGTGGGATGCAAGATGGAGAAAACAGAATTCCACCACTATCTGCACAACCTGACCTACTGGAGACCCACCCTGGCCTCCGCCTGGGCAGTGGAGGCTGCTGAGAGCCCTTTCCTTTCCTCTCCCACAGGGAGCTCAGACCCACAGCCAGGAGATGAGCGTTACTGGCCTCTGTGGGTTGCTGACATGTGGCTAGGGCTGGGTGAGGTTGAGGTGGAAAACGTGGCAGGCTGAGAACGAACCTAACACGTTAAAAGTACCGGAAACTAAAGGTATCCCTGGGGAAAATCTACTGGAGTCTACTCCAGTCTTTTGGGGAAAAGGCCTCTCAAACCAGGAAAAGACAGGCGGACACACGGATACAGGCTGCAGAAAAACTTCCAGGCAACCCGGGGCGATTTTGACGTCAGGAGTAGGTGGAATGGAGAGTCACCGAGCAAGGGACATGCCCGAGAGCTGAGTGCGTGCGGGAGGCTTGGAGAGGTGGGCTGGGAACTAGGAAGACGACAGGACAGAAAAGGGAAGAACTCAGAGGCCTCTAGCCGTGGGGGGCAGCAGGGAGGGAGAACAGGGCACGGTCCCCAAGTCCGCGGGCAGTGACACGGGAGAAGCCGCTCCCTACCTGGCCCAAGTCTGCTCCATGATCCAGGCGCTCTCCTCGCTCTCGGGGGCGCCGCTCATCCGGGGGTGGCCGCAGCCCGGGAAGATGCCAAGCCTTGCTCAGGAGTCTCCAGTGCAAAAAGCCCGAGTCTCCTCCTCCTCCCCAGCTCTGCTTGGCGCCGGGTGAAGGAGCTCAGTCTGTTCTCTGCTTTTTGGAGTGAGCAGATCCGCCGCGGCCGCACCCTCAGCTAACGGTGCTCCGGGCACAAGGCAGGGACTGTTCTCCGGAGGTGGCTGGCCGCCGCCGCCGCTGCCGCCGCCGCCGAGCCCAGGCCCCGGGCTCCCAGGCTCCCAGGCTGAGACGCGACTGGCTGGCACGAGAGGCTCCGCACCAGCTGAGCTGTCAACCGCGAGGGAGCGGAGGCGGGGCTCCCTGCAGCCCAGGACCCGCCCAGGTGACAAGCCGCGGCGTGCCACACGCGCCCTCCCTCCGGCCTCCACTGCCTCCTTCCCGGGCTCCTCGGAGGAACGATGCCCGCAGAGGTGGCCTTCAACGACCCTCATCGTGCCCTCTGTCCCTCGCTCATTCCGTTGAGGGGCTTTGGGTAGAACCACCCAGCTGCAGAGGGACCTTTGGAGAGACGGTCCTCCCGTGTGCCTGCGTCACCCACCCACAGGTAACCTCGGAGCCCGAGACGGAGTGCAAGAAGGAGTCCAGCCAACTGACTTCAGGTGCACCTACTAGAACTTTCGTCTTAGGGCACAGGGAGATCCTCGGAGAGGTACGACCTGATAGTTTCACCGTTAACCCACGGACAGAAACTCGCTCAGGATGGAGCCCTGCTAACCATAACCGTGCGGCCTTATTAGCTGGGTCTCCAGCTCAAGCAAACCCTGGTGTTACACTCTCCTGACTCCTTCCTTTTTAGTTCCCACAGCAACTGGGCTCTGCCAGAAGCTCCAAGGAGGCCGAGGGCTCCCGAACACCCCACCACGTTTCAAACGCCTTAAGAGACTCAAGAGTGGCGCCCGGGAGGTGGACTCTCCACCGTGGCTGTTCTGAGATGGCTCGGAGAACCTTTCCTTCCAAGGAGGGGGCTGCCCAGCCCCTGTGCATCTACTTAGGTGTCCGTGTTTAAACAAGACAGACGTGCTGTAATGAGAGGGCTTGCCTCCCGGAGCTCTCTTTTTAGCTCTGAAATAAACCTTTTTCTTAAGTCACATGATCACTGTTATCATTAGCATCACCCCTGGCCTTTTAATTTTCGAAAACCGTTGGGCGACCGTGTTCGGCAGTGTCAATTTAGTTAAGATTTGTTTGCAAATGGCACAGTGGAGAACAGGAAGGCTCCACTCAGCCCGGGCTCTGATGAGGGCCGGTGGTACGGCCCAGAGCTGTGTTCTCCAAATTTCTGAAGACAGACGGACTAACAAGGCTCCTTCAGAAGGAATCCATTTCCTCAGGCAGCAGTGAAACTCCAGGAAAGACCTGGCATGCCTGGCCCAACTGCAAAGAGCCTGTGCGGTGGAGGGAAGTTTTCAACTACCTCAGTTTCTTGGGTTAAGTTCTAGTCACCAATAGGAACCCGGGGTGTGTGTGTGGGGGCGGGGGGGGAGTGCGGGGAGACACAGCATAACAAACACTGAAGTTTATAGGACCTGTTTGAAAACTCCCTGGTCTAGAATCTCCCAACCCCACCACTTAGTTTGTAGCTAAAACCACCCTGCTCTTGAGATTAGAATCCCTTCCTCTCCTCAATGTTCATTTAAAATGTTACCAGGACTGGACAAAACTGAGGGCCAGTTGACACTAAGCAAGGCTCCCAAGCCACCTGTCTGGAAAAGAATTCCCTGTTGCCGTGGGGGAGGGGCAGGGAGCTCAGGTTTCCATCCCTCATACCAAAGTTGATGCTATATTTAGTTGCGTCTGAAATCAAATTATGGGCTGCTGAGTTGTGGAGAGAGATTCTGTCTACAGCCAGGAGAGCCTCAGTGGAGATACGAGCTAATGTAGCCTCCTGGAAGCAAGCCTGAAAGCCAGGCTTGTTTCGTTTTGAAAAAATAAAATGCTTTTGTACAAAAGTTTATAACATATTTATTGCAGACCATTTAGAAATTACAGAAAACTATGTAGAAAAAAAGAATTATATTTGTTTTGTTTCAAGACAGGGTTTCTCTGTGTAGCCTTGGTGGTCCTGGACTTGTAGACCAGACTGGCCTTGAACTCACAGCAATCTGCCTGCCTCTGCCTCCCTGAGTGCTGGGATTAAAGGTGTGCCTCACCACGCCTGGCAAATAATTCTTAATACCTCGTGATAATCAATGTTTAAAGCTTATGGAATCTCTTCACTGTCTTTTTATAAGTGGGCTTTTTAATACATAACCCAAGTGTATTTGTGAGAATGGAAACTTATTTGAAACCATATATATGAAACTTTCATATATATGGTTTAAAAATAATTTCTTCCTAAATTTCAAAAGAAAAATACTGTCTAAATAGCACTAATCTTGCACAAATGCTTGTGTTTCTCCAGGAACATTAATTACAGCTTAGACCTACGTATTTATTATCCCCTTTCCACTTACTGTGCATTTGTTCATATTTTCAGAGAGTGCTCATATTTATCCTTCAATGATTATACAATGTTTTAATATGTTTCAATAGAATGGTAGCCTACTTAATAATATTATTTTGTTGCATAGTTGTGCCAGTTCTAATATTAGTGTCAAGTAATACTTTAGTGAGCATTTTTTTTCTGCCTCTATTCTTTCATTCTTTAATTATGCTATGGTTTGAACATATGGATTCCTCTAAAATCCTTATATTTGAATGTAAAGAGAGGCCTAAGAAATAAGGTCTTTAGGGACTAATTAAGCCATGAGTGTTATACTCTCAAGAATGGGACTGGTGTTCTCATAAAAGGCTGAAGAAAATGTCCTGTCACGTTCATCCTTCTGTCTTTATCTCCATGTCAGGATGTAGGGATGGCGTAGCAGCAAGGAGCCATCTTGACATCAAAGAACAAGCCTTCACCACACGGTGAATCCGCCTCAGCTTTATCTTAGACTTAACCAGTCTCCAGACTGTGAGAAACACATTTCTCTCATTTATAAGTAACACAGTGTAAGGTGTTTTGTTATAGCAACAGGAACAGACTAAGAATTTTTTTTTTCTTTTTGGTTTTTCAAGAGAGGGTTTCTTTGTGTAGCCCTGGCTGTCCTGGACTTGCTGTAGACCAGACTGACCTCAGACTCACAGAGATCTGCCTGCCTCTGCCTCCCAGAGTGCCGGGACTATATGTGTGTGCCACCATGCCCAGGTGAGAAATTATTCTTTTGAAATAACTAAATCATAATACTATTGCTGGTGAAATGATCCTAATTTTGTCATTCTACATGTGCTTCAATAGCAGTAAGATTTAGCATTAATTTTCAGTATGTAATAGAGAAAGAGTAGTTATAAACTATTTTTGGTATCTTTTACTACTTAGTGTATAAGCTAATGTCCTCTCATTTTCCTTTACATTTGTTATAATACTAATTAATAAGCTCCTATGTCATAGGCTTACTTGGGAAGTATTATCCAGCCTGAGTGAAATCCCTCTGAGGTGGGTCGCTCTCTGCTGGACCAGTGCAGCTTAGCACCGATGCTCAGGGCCCTGATGTGAGCAGACCTGCCCTTCATACTCAGGCACCTGTTGTTGAAGGGTAAATGGCCTGGTCCGAAGACCTCTTATTTCTGGACCCGTACAGAAGAACAGCATCTGTCTGAGGAGCATCTGTCTCCTGGCAACATGCAGCAAGAGGGACACTCACAAGGCCCTTCAGTCTTTGCTCGGAACCAGCGCACTGCTCTTTCTACCGTATCTGAAAATGACTAAAAGTGACTATGTGTCCTGCCGGTCCCTATGTAGTGTTCCCACGGTTCTTGTTGATTTTTTTCCCTCAGAGACACTTGCTAGCTTTACACCACTCCTCACCCCCATTTAAAATTAATTGCAGCACTTAGTAAATGCGTTGCCTTTACAGTGAGAGGTACTCACCGTTTCTAAGCAGAATGTTGATAGTAAGAGTTAGAATATAATTAGCCTTAGCTGCCTTCCACTGCTGTGTAGATACTAAAAGAGCAGTGTGTGCTGAGCCAAGGTTTTCAGCAACCGGGGTCTCCCAGGGGCCATGATGATCTGAGACATGCTGCCGACTTAAATGGAAATAAGGTGAAAACACGTTGCAGAAATTAAGTTCCTGCGGGGCTGGAGTTGACGCTGGGGTTAAGAACACTTGCTCCTCTTCAGCGGATCCAAGTTCAGTTCCCAGCACCCGCATGGCAGTGCACAACAGTCAGTGACTCTAGTCCCGGGGGAGCCAGCGCCCTTTTCTGACCCCTAGGCGCGCATGTGCTACACTGACACATGAGAGCAAACAGTCCCGTGCATAAAACAGCAAGATAAATAAATCTAAAATGTTTTAGATGACTTTAAAAAAAATAAAAATTTAAGTTACTGAGGTTTGGGGACTTGTTTCTGTAGCATAGCCTGGCCTGGTAGCATGGCCTGGTACTGTTTGCCACTCCCATTTTGGGATGAGACCCTTCTCTCAGGATTGCACACGTCCTTATCATGAATCTGCTCCTAGTTCTCTGTGTGTGTTGGAACAGAGGTAAACTGAATTGACGATGTTGGTCAATTCAACCAGGCACATTGTTTTTTTTTTTTTTTCTAAGTACAAAGCTTAGCTCTTAATTGGTCAGCTGATTCAAGTGATTGTAAGCCTGTCCCATGATTTCCAAGCCTCTCCTTTCTTTCAGGTCTTTTTTAATCCCCCTCTCTCTTCCCTCCAGCTTGACTTTGTGTGAAGGGGACTAATCTTGAAGTGGGTGACGCTGTGGTTTAAGTGTAACAATAAAAACATCTGTGTCTAACATTGTATCAGATTTTCTTCTAAGATAGATGTTCAGGTAAGAGTTTCAAAAATGCTAGCAGGTGTCTTCTCCAACTTCGCACTAACAGGCTATTAAAAGCAATATTATGATAAAACATGGACAAAAGAAAGATTAGTATTTTAAAAAGAGCCACTCAACTTTTTGTTTCTTGTTTTGTTTTTTAAGATGGGTCTCCCTTGAAGGCTTGAAACTCCCTGTGTATAAGCATATGCTACTATGCCCAGCTTGAGCCATTCCATTTTTGAATAGTTTAGAGCCAGACATGTTAGATTTCGAAAACCAAATTGTTTATCATCTTTCCAGACAGTTTAATCTTTCAAAATAAGAAGTGGCTTCAAGACAAAAAAAACTAATAATAAATAAATAAATATTTTAAAAATCAAATCTAAAATGATTGTGAGAGCCTTGGGGAAGGCCTCCAATGGTCTTCCATTTAAGCAAGCAGCCTGGGAGAATCTTAAGGGTGTGCCTCTCCACTGTGTAAAGAAGCTTCTAAAAACGTGATGAGTCCATTTTCCCCCCAACAGGCAGACCGACTGAGGGAAAAGCATTTTTGAAAAGAAGTCGGGGTGTAGCTTTTGTCTGGTGGAGATTATTGTAAATTAATTTATAAGGCACTCTTTCAGTCTTCAGGGAATGGTATCAGCATCGACTGAAAGGGATTAAGACAGCACAAGAATGAAAACAGGCTTTCCTTGTTAACCCATAAACAATACAGTAGACCAACTATTTACACTGTATGTATATAGATCATCGATGCTATAGTTTGGATCTAGAATGTCTCCTAACGGGGCTGGGGGGATGGCTGCTCTTGCAGAGAACCAAGATTGCGTCCCAGCACCCACATAGCAGCCCACAATGTTCTGGAACTCCAATACCAGCATATCTGGCACCCTCTTTTGGCTTCCATGGGACCAGGCACATAAGACCACAGGCATACACAGGAAAACATCCCATATACATTAAATAGATAAACAATTTTAGGAAAGAAATGCTGACAGGATAGAAGTCTGTTTGATTCATACACATCGAGGTTTAGCCCTAACCGTTCTGATAAAGCTAGTTGGATCTGTGAATGTGAAACCTACATACAGAGGAACAAGCATACATGAACTTTCAAGAGGTAAAAAGCTCTTCTAGTGGAGTTCATCAGTGCAAGGATGTGACATATGATATTAGCCCCAGGGAGGATCTAATGGGGGGAACTGTGTCCTGGATGGACATATCTGGTGACCCAAGTAACATGGAGGGAAATGGTTGGCTCTGCAGGACTGGAAAG